ACATTTCTATTCTAAGCCCAAGCACATAATCCACCTTCAGTAAAATAACTTATTAAATTCTCACCATGGGCCTGAAACTATGATTTTTAGAGGGATTATTGCATTTTATCCTTACACCTCTAAAAAGAGAGTCAGGGACTACTATTACTAGTATAATTTTACAGAAGAGGAAAGTGAATATTAGTGAACGTAAGGTTAGTGAAGTGAAGGTTTAGTGGATTATATAACTTGCCCAACAACACAAATGTAGCACTGGGATATAACTGATACAACTAATGCTGAATTCTTGAACAGTGCTCAATTTTTAAGCCTGATGTTTCTTTAAGGGAAATATCCTCAGCATAAGAAAACTGAGATTGTCTAATTAATTAATTAATTAATTATAGTTATATTCATTATTCGACCTGTGCCAGGCACTCTACTAAGCATTAGAACAGTGAGAAATAAGATATACCCTCAAGGCGCTTCCAGCAGAAAGATTAATACAAATATAAATGGTTACAATACGTTACATGATATAATAACGTGTGCACACGCATGATACACTAAAGTGGGCAAAGAGTGCTTTGGGCATAGCAAACTGCCTAAGGAAGTTAGGGAAGTTTTCATAGAAGTGATGCGGTTTTTAAAAAACAAGAAGTTTTTTCTTAAGGTAAGGAAAGGAGGAAGGGCATCCAAGCAGAAGAAACTGCACATGCAAAAAGATGAACATGTGAAATAGCAAGTATAAGAAGAGGGTGAGGGAACAGGAGGAATGAGGGATAATGACCAGGCTTGTAACTTGGGAGACGAAGCAGTTGGTGTGACTTCATTAGAAGACCAGGTAAATCATACAGGAAGCAGGTTGGTGGAGGGAAATGGGGTTGATGAGCTCAATTTAAGGATCAATAGGCAGTTGAAGAATTAAGCCTGGAGCTCAGAAGAGCAATCAGTAGTGGGGGAAAAGATTTGGGAATCATAGAATGATTGGTGGAAGTACCATTACGGTTAGGAGAGAATATAAAATTATAAGGTCATAAGACTAAGCTAATATTTAATATAAAAATATTAAAGGTACTGAAGTGAGCAATGATTTATTTTTCATTTTTATAAACTAGCATGGTCAAGATTGTCAAATCTCATTGATCAAATTAAAGTTAGTGTGTCAGGAACTGTGCATAAGCCTGGGTTGCCTATGGGAGTGTTGACTGACAATGTGTATCACAGAATAAATAAAGAAGACTGAGAACTGTCATTTTCCAGTTCATGCATTGCCTTTGTACATGTGTAATTTCAGTGTTCTGGAATTAGCATGGGCTCCATAGTCCAAAGTATTTGGGGTTGAATCTTAAATCTCCTGCCACTTAGCCAAGTTGCGTAGCATCTCAGAAGTCTGTTTCTTCACCTATAAATGAGAATAATAACTATCTACTTCATATCATAATAAGGATTAAGCAACTATACTTATCAAACATGGTGCTGGGCAAAGAATATTGAACAATACAGGCAGAGGTTACTTTCCATCTAGTGAAGGATTTTCCTAAACTTACAATTTAAAAACAATTATTAATGGAATATTAAGTAGGGACTACTTATCCTGGGAACTCTGGCAGTGAGAGGATAGATAGATACTATTTAGAAGATTTGAACCAGGAATTCAAGTATTTGGAGAGGCAGAAGTTTGACTTTCTTCCATTCAACTTTGCACTCTAAGCCCTGAAATTGGAAATTTATCAGTTCTAAGCCAATGCCATTGTAAATGTTAAGCACTCTATAAAATGTTAAATCCATGAGATTCTTTTGGTTTGATTTG